ATCACAGAACCTAGGGTTCATGCTTTGTGAATCTCCTGCTGAGATGTGCCAGAAACTCCACATTGCATTGTTCCCCACCACCAATACCACGTGCTAGACCGTATGGCCCAGGCAGCAGAACTGCTTGCACCACAGCCTTGACCTGAGACAGAAACTTTTCCTTTTCTGGGCTCTTCTCAAACCTGGAAGTCTTCCAAGTCAACCAGTATTTGGGCCAGAGCAGTATTTATAGGTGTGGAATATGCTGCTTCCAGAACTTGAGGCCCAACAGTGTCTTCCTTTATTAAAAAAATGGTTGAAGGTCCATGATGCAACAATTGTCTTTTTCTTTTGGAAGGGATGCCTTAGGGCACCACTGACCACTGGATCCCTAAAAGTATTTTAAGTGTAGCAGGTCCCTGAATCTTCACAGGGTTTATCTACTACTCTCTGGAGCATCGGTAAGACATCTTACCGATGTCTCCGGCATCTTTATAATGTTATTGATGTAATGGAACAACGTGATGTTCTTCAGGATGGTGAAGTCTTTGGACGATGAGAGGGCAAGAGAGGTAACATAGGCTTCAGGCAAAACTGCATCTTTGTTCCACGTGAATGTGAAATGTTTCTGATCTTTTCTGATAGGGACAGAAGAGAATACACTGGATTAGCAGCCACCTACCACATCTGACACGGAGACTCCTCTCGGGGCTGCTCCTGAGTCGAGTTTGCAGTATACCCTCATCCTGCAGGATCCTTCTGATTTCTGCAGGGATCATGCTGGTGAAGTAAAGGTTTTGGGGACCACCATGCTGTATCCTTTAGATCCTTAAAAGTGGCACCCATCTCTGCCATCCCTCCCACCCCCAGGTGTGATGTTGCTTTATGATCCTGATAGGAATAGGTCAGTTTTAGAGGTTTCCACTTGGCTTTTCCTATTGTGATAGCTCTAACCCTACAGGTCAGGGACCCAAAATGAGAGTAATGTTAATTGCCAAGTACGTCAATGCCAATTATTCACTTTGGGACAGGGAAATGACCACCAAGCAGGTTCACAGACGCAGTGGACCTACTGTAAGCTGGACCTTGGGCAGGACTCCATTAATGATCTGGGCACCACATGAGCCACTCTGACAGGGGAGCCATGATGATCCAGGGGTCTAGATGTCAAAGTCAGTTCAGACCTTGTGTCCATCAATCTTCAAAATGTTTGGCTACCTACTTTTCCCCGGGTGTAGTTACCAAAGGAAAGGCCTTTGGGATTCATTTCTGTGTATACTTGTGGTATATCGCAGGGTCCTTCTTGGTATTTGGCCACCCCTTCAGTTCCATGTCTGAAAACTGGCTCAGGTCCAGAAACTGGCTGTGGGATCCTGATTTTTTTTATATTGGGCAACCAGCTTGATTTTCCTAGTCATCCATCCTTGATTTTTTTTTCTGCTGGTAGTACCTTCAACTGCCCATCTATTTTGCCTCTAGGGATGCTGTGTTTTATGAAGCATTTCTGCAGCTCTCTGCAGCTCAGGCTCCCTTGGCTGCTATGCACACCTTGCTGGCCATTGTAATTTGCGATACTCGGACTTCTGTCAGTTCCGTGCTGCTTCCTGGCCTCTTCTGTTTTAGGATCCTATCGTCCCCGATGCTGTTCTGGAACAGCCTTTCCTACTGTCAGCTCTCACCTAAAAGGTGAGCCACCATTGGCTAGTGATGTCAGTACCCCTTTCATCAGTCTGTTTCTTTGGACTTTTGTAAAAATTTGTTATTTGTGCCTTTATGTGGAATATAATCATCTGGTGGGTCTTCAGGAAGCACAGAGTATTTAAATTTCAGCACACTCACATCCCTGACCCTTGTACTCCTTTCCATCAGTCCGCTGTAGCAATTGTCATTTCAACTTTGCTTACCGTGGACCATAGCTTTTTCTACGTGTAGTGTTTTAAAAATATATCTGCAAATTCTGAAATTTCTCCCTTTGAAAGGAGTCTGATGCCTCTCCCCTGAATATAGGTGAGATTTACTAACAGCTGGGGAGTGGCAGAAGTGATGCTATATGACTCCTGAGGCTAGTTCACAAAAAGGCCATGGCTTTCCTTTGTCTTTGGACAACTGCCCTTGGAATCCAGCCATTACATTGTGGGGAAGTCTGGGCCACAGGGAATGGCCATGTGTGGGTATGCTGGCTGACACCCCCAATCCAGGCTCCTGCATCAACTGTCAGACATGTGAGTAAATGAACCTTCAGATCATTCCAACCCCTGGCCTTCAGGCTGCTCCAGCCGAGGCCCCAGATGCTGTGGAACAGAGACAAGCCATCTCCACTATCCCCTGACCCACAGTAACCTAAAGAGATAATAAATGATTCTTGTTTCAAGCCACCAAGTGTGTAGTTACATAGCAATAAACACAGCATCATTTCAGGAGCATCCTTTCAGAGAGTTTGCTACCCGTCTTTGCCGGGGTGTTAAATCCCGTATCTTAGAAGACTGATCATAAGTCTTCTACCCCATTTTACGCTCCAGTTCTCTCCTGATTTCTGCAGGGGTCATGCTGGTGAATTAAACAAGGACGCTGGGGACCGCCACTCACCAAGCACACTTATAATCCAGCCCCGCACAGACTTCCCTAGCTCCTGGCAGTTGGCTGGTTCTCACAACCTGTAACGGGTTGAACTGTGTCCCTGCAAAAGACGTTGAAGTCCTAATCCCCCGGTACCCGTGAATGTAGCCTTATTTGGAAATAGGGTCTTTACAGATAATCAAATTAACATGAATTAATTAGGGTAGGTCCTAATCCAATGACTGGTGTCCTTAAAAACAGGGGATTTGGACACAGAAACAGACACACATATAGGGAGAAAGGCACGTGAACATGAAAGCAGAGCGATGGGCATGATGCATCTACAAGCCAAGTAGCACCAAAGATTGCCAGCAAACCACCAGAAGCTAGCAGACAGGGATGGAAGATCCTTCTTTCGCAGGCCTGTAACGTTGTTCTGACTTCCAGCCCCCAGAACTGTGAGATAAATTTCTGTTAAGCCACCCAGTCTGTGGTACTGTTACTGCAGCCCTAGCAAACTAATATGTCCTTTTGAAGGGGAGGGGGCTATAGTCCACCTGAATTATGCTAAGAAATAACCATAATTATATGCCTAGTGTCCAACAGGTTGGGGAAAGGAGTGCTAGGTTGGTAGGGAAAGGTGAGCCACATGGGCAGGCTCCAGAGGTTTCAAGGCAGTCTTGGGGGTGGGGAGCAGTCAGAAGCTTTGAGGGCACCTACCCAGATATGAGATCTCTTTGACATGTGTCATGGGCCCAGATTTTCCCAACCAGGGCCCCAAACTTAGCGTAACAGAACTGCCTTGAATGGGTGTTTACCATCTTTGAGATATTAATTCTTGAGGCTGGCCCTTGTCTTTATTGTCTCAATGCAGGAGATGAGGCTTTTTTTTTGCAGGCAACCGAAGAGACTCCATGGCTTTCAATGGTCTGTTGGTAGCCATCCACTGTCCATTATTTCTCTTAAGGGCATCAGTAGTGTTAAGGAATAGCTACCTAATCCCAGTACCCTTCCTTACAGCTAATATTTCCATCATACGTAAAAGGCTTCTAGGGTATTCATTTCACTTCTCTGGTTCACTCTTCGACACGGGTGTGTGTGTGGAGGGGGCGGGGGGTCTCAGTTCAGCTCCACCAGCCCCCAAGGCTCCGGCCGTCTGTAGTTCCCTCATGTCTATCCTCGCACTTCCCAAGGTCACCCCACGGTCTGAAATGGCTGCTGGAGCCCCTTCCAAGGCTGTTTCGAAAAGCACATGGGCTAACACACACGTCACAGCGCGTCTACGAAGGACGGGCAAAGGTGCCCAGGGTGTCCTGCTCACTCCCGAGAGTCGTGAAAAGCCCCACGCATAAGGCCCACGCGTGCTGGGGAGGAAGCGTGTGGACGCCCCCCGCCCGCCCCAGCGCACCCCGAACCCTCAGCGTCCGCGCGGACACCAGATCAGGGCCTGCGGGGTCGCCGTGGGCGGACGCCCGCCTGAGGCCCGCGACCCCAACACCGGGGGCGAGGGGCGTCTCGCGCCCGCAACCCCAACACTGAAGTGACCGCGCTGAGAGGCGAGCCAGCGTCCCTGCCCGTCGGCGATCCAAGCCCTCGGCGCAGAGCCTCTCGGGAGTGACGCTCTCGCCGCTCTCCCAATGGGAGCCCGGAGCGGCCTCGCCGCGGCCTCGCGGCCAATGGGAGCGAGCCTCTGGTGTTGCTGGGCGGGCCCGGCCTCTCACCTGGCAGGCGACTCGCCGCGTTACCCGTCTCGCCCTTCCCGCCGCGCACGCGCGCTCCGTACAGGGTCGGCCGGGCGGTCGGGGGCGCGCGGGGCGGTGGCGGCGCCAGAGGAGCCGTCCGCGCTCGTGCCCGCGCCTCTGTGGAGCCGCCGGGGCCGCGCCCCTGCCCGCCGCCTGCGGTCCCCGCTGGCCGATGCGGGTCGTCGGGCGGAGGGGAGTGACGTAGCCGCCGCCAGTGCCGCCGCCTCGCCTCGGCGCGGCCCGACCCCGACCCAGACCCCGACCCCGCCCGGGTCGAGCCGGCCGACTGGCCGTCCTTCGGCGGGGCCATGGCCGAGCGCGGGTGCCCGCTGGAGGCAGTGCCGTTACCCGCCGAGGTGCGGGAGAGCCTGGCCGAGCTGGAGCTGGAGCTGTCGGAAGGTGAGCGGCCCCGCGTTCCCCGTCTCGCCCTTCCCGCCGCGCACGCGCGCTCCGTACAGGGTCGGCCGGGCGGTCGGGGGCGCGCGGGGCGGTGGCGGCGCCAGAGGAGCCGTCCGCGCTCGTGCCCGCGCCTCTGTGGAGCCGCCGGGGCCGCGCCCCTGCCCGCCGCCTGCGGTCCCCGCTGGCCGATGCGGGTCGTCGGGCGGAGGGGAGTGACGTAGCCGCCGCCAGTGCCGCCGCCTCGCCTCGGCGCGGCCCGACCCCGACCCAGCCCCCGACCCCGCCCGGGTCGAGCCGGCCGACTGGCCGTCCTTCGGCGGGGCCATGGCCGAGCGCGGGTGCCCGCTGGAGGCAGTGCCGTTACCCGCCGAGGTGCGGGAGAGCCTGGCCGAGCTGGAGCTGGAGCTGTCGGAAGGTGAGCGGCCCGGCGCCTGGGACCCCCGCCCGGCCCTCCTCCCAGACCCCCGCCCGACCCTCCGCGGGCCCGGGACCCCCGCCCGGCCCTCACACCCGAACCCCGACCCCCGTCCGGCTTCCGGCGCCCGGCGGGTGGCCGCGCTTTGGGTGGTTTGGCCTAAGGCGCGGGAACCTGGACGGGGATGACCGTTCTGTCCGAGCGGGCTGTCCCAGCCGAGGGCTGCGGGTCAGCGCCCTGGCAGCCGCGCCGGCTGCAGCCCCGCGTGCCTCGCTTTCCTCCTCTGAGACGGGGTGGTCGCAGCACCTGCCCCTCGGCGCCCGTATGAGCCTAATGCCTTAGCAGGTGCAAAGCACTGAACACTTCGAACGAGGTTGTTAGCCCCTTTTAGGGAACTTTTAAAAATTTAAAAAGCATATTCAATAAGTGGTTGTTTGTTTAAAATAGACTGAGTGATTAGGCCTCAAGAGGCGTGGGTGGTGTTACCCCTCCGTCTGTTACCCCAAGGCTCGTGTCCTGAACTCCGCGTGGCTGCCGGCGCACAGAGTTAGTTCTTGTCCGGGATCAGGGAGGCCTCGTAGCCGTTGAAGAGAAGCAACTAAATGCTTAGCTGTTCTTGACACTTAAGTGCGTTTTCAACTGTCAGCAGCCATTTACTCCATAGTCTGAACCCAGTTCAAGTTTCGCTCTGGTTGGGGTAGTGACTTGTTACCACTGTCTAATAAATATGCCCCGGACTGTACTGACTGCTCACCAGCCTTCGGGAGGTAGGTGCCGTCGTTATCTTTGTTTTACAGATAATACAGCATTTACATGCAACCGCTTTGAATTCAACATGCAAATTTTTTAAATTTTATTTATTTATTTATTTTTGGCTATGTTGGGTCTTCGTTTCTGTGCGAGGGCTTTCTCCAGTTGCGGAGAGCGGGGGCCACTCCTCATCACCGTGCGCGGGCCTCTCACTGTTGCGGCCTCTCTTGTTCCGGAGCACAAGCTCCAGACGCGCAGGCTCAGTAGTTGTGGCTCACGGGCCTAGTTGCTCCGTGGCATGTGGGATCTTCCCAGACCAGGGCTCGAACCCGTGTCCCCTGCATTGGCAGGCAGATTCTCAACCGCTGCGCCACCAGGGAAGCCCCAACATCCAAATTTTTAAACGTTCTGTGACATGTGGCATTTTTTTTTTTTAATGGAAGTGCAATTGGAAAAGGGTGGATTTGAGAGTTCTTGGTGATTAGGTGCTCCTGAAAAATCTGAAAAACTCAGATTAGGAATGGTTCTGACAGTAACTACTGTCCTGAGTTTGTTATAGTTATTCATCGAGGGAAAAATCATATAGATGCCGTTTCGACTCAGCACAATTTCAAATATGTTTCTGCAGATTGTTCTTAGTTTCTTCCCCAGTGTATTAGTTATTTCCTCAATTCCTTGTTGTTTTGTGGTTGGATGTTGAGTTCCTTCTAGGAGTTGACAGTTAGATGATTGAGAGCTTCATGGTGTGTGTGACAGAACACACGTAAAGACAAGTACGTCAACAAAAGAAATGCTTCCCCATTGAATCCTTTTATGCTGCTGTCACTTTAGACACACGTAGAGGACGTACAGTTGGGTGAAGGGCACAAGGTTACGCACAGGTGGATAGGAGCCCGGAAACGTAGCTTAAGCTGAGGAAGGAGAAGACAGTGTTGAGGGGAAGGGACAGCAGAGTGCGGTGCAGCCAAGGAGGCAGGAGCCCTGGCCTCTGTCCCACGCCCACACCGGTGAGGTTTTATTTACGTAGTTAAAGGAAGGTGTCATTAATGAAGCACACTCCTAAAGCAACCAAAGTTCGTGTCATTGTCATTATCATTTTTATATTTTCATCAAGTAGAAGTAGAAGGTGGGTCTCCCTTTGCCCTGCGCGCTGTGTCTCTCCCCACGCGCCCCGCCCCCCGCCGTTTGAGAGAAAATTCTAAGTTAGAATAAATTCAGTCAAGTCGGAATAGGGTGCCTTCACGGCACTCACATTTGTCTGAATGAGGAGTTGCTTAAAACTTCGAGATGACATCGTACGAGGCAGGTTGGCGGGAGGAGGGAGCTTAACACAGACAAAACGCTGCCCGCATGGAGACGGGGGTTATCGTCAGATACCGGGGTAACCTGGAGAAGCCTGCACGATGTCCCCTCAGCCCGTACCCAGCCTTGACTAGGAGAAAATACACCCCTGCCTTTATTCATAACTCGCACGTGGCCTTGTTCTCCAGCATCCTCACTGGATTCTCACTGATTGTTGAAATTGGGGTTCATCCTCAGGGATGGTTCTTGTCTTTGGATGCACTCATTTCTCCCCATAGAGCAGGTTTGTGGACTTTCTCATTCCAGAGGGAAATAGGCACAGCCGTGGTCTTGCGCCCTAGCTTTCCTGGCTGTTTTGCCCGTCTTGACTTAGGGGTCTTCTTCAGACGAAGTTGAGGGTGATGGGTGGAGGTACACAGAGCCTCACCCTTCTTAGAAGCCCCCCCACCCCCTGAACATACTCAGAAGAATTCACGTATGTGGCTCCTCAAAGCGGATCAGAATGTCTGTGCATGAAAATGAGGTTATTAGAGGTATAATCTTGATTTTTTTTTTAAAGAATTAATTCCCAAACACTTAGGCTTTGCCTATTACTGTCTGAAATTACCTTCGATATGCCTCACAACTAATTTTGGTGCTGTGCGGTATCTTGGGGCTGTTGTTGCTGAACTGCTTTAAGAACGAGGATGACACAGGGTGAACAGGTGGAGCACAGGGGATCTCTAGGGCAGCGCGACTGTTCTGTACAATACAGTAATGGTAGATACAAGTCATTCTACGTTTGTCAAAGCCCAGAGATTGTACAACACGAAGAGTGCGCCCTAATGTTAGCTGCGGACTTTAGTTATAATAACGTATCAATTTTATTCATCAATTAGAACGTATGTACCACAGTAATACAAGATGTAAACAGTAGGGGATGTGTGGGAAATCTCTGTTCTTTCAAATAAATTTTTTGTAAACCTGAAAAAAAAAAACCCACAAAAAACCAAGGGTGATGGTGTGAAGTTTGTTCTTTGTTTTAGTTGCCTGCAGAGGTTTAGAGAGGAAATTCCTACACAATAGGTTACATTTATCCCACTCCTGTTTTTTCATTCTGGTTAATAGGTCTATTCTGTAGCTTTAACTTTAGTCTGTTTCTTGTTTTCATGCAGTTTGATAGTGCAGGGGCTCCAGCCTGGATGGAGTCGACCAGAAAGGGGAAAAGCTCCATTTGGAGCTTTTTGGATGTACAGGAAGGGACTTCTTTTCACAAAAAGCGTTTTTCCTCATTAAATGTCTTTAATTTCTAAAATTTGTGATATATTGATAATTCTCTAGTTTTCAAAATGACAGCCTGACATTGCCTTCACATCGATAAACATTTGTTGTGCTTCCTAAATATTCTGTGGTGTACTAAAGTTCTCATGTCCAAATTCCATTCATCTGTCAAAGCCCAGCCCAAGTGTCTTATGTGACCCTTTCCTGATCCTCTCTGATGAGGCTCCTTTCTCAGAATTCTCATCACCCTGCCCCCTCTTTTGGAGTTCTTGCCACCTTTTGTTTTTTGTGTTTGTTATTTATATATATTCATTCATTCAGTAATTATTGCGTACCTGCTGGGTGCTAGGTAATGTTTTGGCTGTAGTGGTCAGGTTTAGCGTTGTTTCTCCATTGATCATAAGGCTTTGCACAATGTTGTATTAAAATAGGAACGTAGATACACATTGCAGAGGAGTGAAACAATTTAAAGGAAATGTAGGCTGGAGTGAGCATCCCTCCTACCTCTGGCGTCTTCCCAGACGTGGCCTGTGGTATCCATTTCTTGTGTTTTCTTCTAGAAGTAATCTGCCCGTGGTTCCCATACAGTGGTTCACACACCTCCCGGGCTCCCTAAGACCGTTGCTGGGGGGCCTAGGTGGGAAGACTGTTTGTTTATAATAATACTAAGACGTCATTTCTGTTTTCCATGTTGGTACTGATGGTGCAGGAGCAGTGATGGTTAAGACTACTGGTGCTTTGGCAGAAACTGTGAGGCAAGGGCCCCAAATCACACTGACAGTCAGTGCGTCCTTCACCACCTCCCCACTTGCAGTAGAAACAGGGCCACTTTGACTTAGACATATACCCTTTCTTGCTGAAGCAGCAACAGTTATAACTTGCTTAAATCTCGTACCCCGAGTACCCTGAGTACTTGTTCTAGTCTCCTCGTGAGGAATGGGAGGTGCACGTCAAGCACGTCTGCCACACTGAGAGGTCCAGAGCCTGTGAACGGCTCTGTTGTGCAGTTTGAGCTGCAGAACAAATGGGCCACGTTTGTTGTGGAGCGTGATTTTTACTTGAAAAAGTGAGTGACAGACAAGCCACAGTTATTCAGAGTTGGGTATGTGGTGGACGTTTTCTGAGAAATGAAGAACAATTGTCAGAAATTGTAGCCAACGATAATATTTGTGCTTTCAAGCAAAAATACAAAAATTTAAAACTTCTGTCTGCTACCATGAGCTTGACAGCCTCTCAGTACTTAAAGACTTATTTTGATGGGATCAGTGGCAATATTAATGAATGTGAGTTATTGATATTATTTAGTGAAATGTGTCAACGTTAGGAAGAGCTGCGTAATTCTGTGAGCCAGCATTTTCCAAATGAACAGTGTATCATGTTACAAATTTGTGCATGGGTAAAAGATCCATTCAAAGATATACCAATAGATTGCAACGAAAAGTTGCAGTACGAAAAGTTCATTGACGAGCTTTTAGATTCTACATTGCAACTGTCATTTAAGAAACTACCACTTGCCTAGTTTGGGTGTGGTATAAAGCAGAATGTCCACAGTGATCTGAAAAGGCTACTGAAATACTCCTCCCTTTTCTAACCCATGTGTGTGTGAGGCTTTGCTTCATAGACTTCATAGACAGGATTTGCTTCATAGACTTCAACCCACATATCCTGCAGCCAGCTGAATGCTGAAG